CACAACACTGAGCTCACACTACAAATCACAACACTGAGCTCACACTAAAATCATAAGCGGATAAACAGATACGTAGAGAGGATATAACGATGTCAGGTAGTAAAAGTGCATTGAGGAAAATACAGTGCGGTAAAGAAAAAACAGGGGTGGGACTGACGGTGCCATTTCAGATCGCAACCAGGGAAGGCCTTTTGGAGGCAGTGGCATTTGAGGTCTTGGAGCCAAAGACCTTCATCAAACAAGCACAATGAGCACATGAGCCTGCAAATAACCAAAGAAAGGAATTCCAGGCAGAAGAAAAAGCAAGTGCAAGGGCCCTGGGGCCCAGGGGAAGAAAGTGTGCGTGGGGAGGTGCAGCTAGACAGGCCCTGGGGCCCTGGCAAGGACTTCGGCTGTCATCACAGGGGACACGGGAGCCCCCGCAGGGTTTTTCACAGAGGCATCATGTGATTCAATGCATGTGTTAAGCGATCACTCTGGCTACTGTGCAGCTCAGCCCCAGCATAAAAGTGGCAGGGATCTGAAACTAAGTGTTAGGCTCATAACCCAGGCAAAAGACAGAAGACTTAGGCTGGGGCAGGAGCCAGGGAGGAGGTGCAAAGTTGTAGATTCTGAGTGGATTCTGAAGGTGGAGCCACGAGGTTTGTGAGAAAAGAGAGTCCAGGCTGCCCAAGAGGCCTTCTCTGAGCCCCTGAGAGGATGGGGCAGCAGCAGCTGAGTGGAGGCGCCGTGGGAGGAGGAGGGGGTCTCTGCTGGGGAGGGCGTCAAGGATTCAGCTGGTCCCTGGGAAGAGCGGGGCACCCTTTAAAGAGCCAGGGGCAGAGAGGAGACAGTGAGTGACGCCTGTGGGCTTCAAAGGAGAGGTGGGCTGGAAACGGGGGCTCCGGGCGGCTCCCTGGGATCACTGGGAATTAGTGGAGAGGGAGAGGGAGACAAGACAGGCCAGTGGACAGGGAGGTGGAGGCACCGGGAAAGGGCTGGGGAGGAAGCATTTCACAGAGGCTGCGTGGCCATCGGCTGCTGCTGGGAGGTCCTGTGCGGTTGGGTGGAGAGCAGCGGCGGTCACCGGTGACCACGATGAGAGCAGCTGAGTGGTGTGGTCAGGAACAAACATGGCTGGCATGGGCGGAGGAGACGCACGGAGGAGAGGAAGTGGAGAGAGATCATGAGGCAGCTTTATTGTAAGCGGGAGCAGAGATACAGGCTGTGGCTGAAAGGGATGTGGAGTCCCATGAAGGTGATACGGCCAAGACTGGCCTGGGGCGCCCTGCTGACAGGTAGACCAGAACCCATCCTCCATCTCCCTAGGTCTTCCCATCGGTGAGTGCAATCCCTCCCACAGCCCTCCCATCACTCACTCAGGATTGGGGTGCTGGGGGGGACACACTTAGAAAATGTTCATAGTAATTCCACCCTGCAGGAGTAATTGCTCCTGTCCCCGTGGAAATCTGATGGGGACGATTCCATCCTTGCTTCCTGCATTGCCAGATTTCAAGCAGAAAATGGGGTACATGGGCCCCAACACTCCTCTGGAAAGGGGACAGATGCTCCCACACCCCACCATCTGCAGCCCCCATTCCTTCACCCACAACATGCACTGAGCTCCGTCTGTGACTGCCCCTTCCCTCCTTTCTCATGAGAAGTCAGATGTGTCAACCTTCAATGCCTGGGCTAACTGTTATCTGCTATGACAGAGAAATGCCATGTGTGGAAGCAGCACAGGTGAAAAGGAGATGAGTCTTTCAGAGGAGGTAACTGGGGGCTGGGTCTTGCAGGATGAAGAGGAGTTCATCAGATAGAATAGGCATTCCAGGCAGAGGGAACAGCACATGCAAAAGCTCAGAGGCAAGTGGATGAGTGTGGCTGGGGAATGAGAGGGTAAGTAGTGTCCAATTATGAAGGGGTTGGATGGCTTGCTGTGGAACCCAGCTAAGTTCCCCTAACAGCTAGCATGACCTGAGCTGAGTTCTAGTACCCTGGTGTTGGCGGACAAAGTGCAGTGAGGAGAGTCCAGTTTCTTACCTGAAGAATCCCCAGATACCCAGACGGTACTGAATCGTCACCACCACCACGTTTTCATGGGCAGCGAGGGGCAGCCCATCATAGGTTGATGCACCGCCCAAAAACAGCCCCCCTCCGTGGATCCACACCATCACCTGGGCAGAAGGGGAAGCAACAGACCAGTTACAGGACGCAGAGCCAGGAAACACTCAGAAGGTGCCTTGTTTAGGTCACAACTGAAGGAGGATGTTACCCAAAGTTCACCAGCGCCCAGCAAGGTTGCAAAAGGCAGTCTCTCTCCTCTATAATTCTCCCAACTGGGGCCCAAGCCACCACCCCACTACACACACTGTGGCTGCCCCTTCTTACTGTCCAGCCTCCAGTGCTTCTCCCCAGACTCTTCATCATCACGGGCACAGCAAAGGCTAAGGAAGTCTTGGTCTTGCCCTCACTTCTATCACCCTCAAGCCTGGACTGTTCATGCAGCCCAGCGTACCCATGGGGCAGCCCTTGTATCTCAACTTCATCTCAGTTAACTCTCTCATGGTGAATTAAACTTTTCTGTGCATGAGTGATTGTCTTGAGAAGCACACATGCCTGTGATGGTGTCTCTTCCTCAAATGCCTCCTTTATGCCTCTGCATCCCCAAATCCTATCCACCCTGCAGATCCCAGGGTGCCTTCAATCAATGGACTAATACTATCTGAGAACTTACTATGTGCCAGGGACTGCGCTAATGCCCGGGGATTAGAGGGATACAATTCCTAATGCATGGTTCTCGCATTTTAAAAGTCCACGTAGCAGGGAAGAAGTGAGAGTGGCTAAAATAATGATATTGTAATAATATTATCAATAAAACATAAAAGAACTCATAACATAAACTATGTACCATGTGTTGTTCCAAGCACGGTAAAATGAACTATCCCCTGGGTAAGTACCAATACTGTCCTATTTTCCAGGCAGGAACATGGAGGCGCTTAACTGCCCAAGGTCCCACAACTCAAAAATGGTAGAAGCAGGACTTGAACCCAGGCAGTCTGGCTGCAGCGTCCACATGTTGAGCTGCACAACACGCTGCAGGAGCCAGCCACAGTGCAGCAAGTCCACTGTTAGTTACAGGAGTACGAGCCTGCCTCTACCTGCTCAGCCGGGAGCTGAGATCAAGCTTAGTGGTCACCCTTGACTGATCGAATGTGATGAATCCCATTTTGAGGAAACAGAGCCTTAGACAAGTTAAGAAACGCCCAAGACTCTCAGCTAGTCAAAGGCAAAACCAGGATTTAAACCCTGACCATGTAGTTCTAGAACCTATGGCTATTCCCGGAGGTTCTCCCACCTCCAGGTTCCCAGAGCCCTTTTTCTCCCACACCTCTAATGCCTGCCTGCCTCCTGGGGAGGGACTGAGCGTGCATCCATCTTTGTGTGAAGGCCTGCAATAACCTCCTGAAGGGAGCATGTGTCTCTACAGCCCAGACGGCAAGATCCTTGAAGGCAGGGGCTGCGTGGAGTGGGTTGATGTTCCTCTTTCCCCTGAAGCCCCAGGTGTAACTGTGTATATAGGGCACTGAGTACACAATAGAAGAATGAATGAATGAGTGAATGAATGAATGAATGAGTAAAACTCTCCTACTTCCTCTGTCTTACCAAGCACATGTAGGGACAACTTCTAGGCCCAAGTTTGCAGACCTGCTCTCTCACTCCTGGGCATCATGCTACCGTGCCCGTGGGGGACTGGCTGGATGCGACACTCTTTCTTCTTCTCCCTGAGGTGGCCTCCTTTGCCAGCAGACCCTTCCCACCCTCCAACCTGCAGCTGGCAGCCTACCCCACCTTCTGTCCTTCATTTATTTGGGAAACGCTGACTCACTGGATCATCAGCCTTTGCCAAGACAATTAGGGAGGAAATTAGGTACAACAAAATCCCAGATATTTGGCCAAAGGCAAAAGGAAGTGCTCCTGGGATTTTCCAGGCTCTGCCCCCAACACCCATACCCAGACAATGAAAGTTACCCCAGATGGATGTGGGTATGCTGGAGAAAGGCCACATACGAGCTCAATGCCCCACTCCAAGTCAAAAGCACTGGTTTGAAGATCAGAAGGCTTGAGCAAAAACTACCCTACTGGTGACCTCTCCTTTCCTGTCTGGGCCTCAGTTTCTCTATCCGAAAAGGAAGAGTGGGGGTGTTGGCTTTTCTCTAAGTCCCTTCCACCTCTAACATTATTGGAAATCATGTCTTGCCCACTCTGAGTATCAGATTTTTAATCTAGTAACTAAAAGTAATCATTCTCATCCTTCATTAGCATAAGGGAACTTGGAACAATTAAGATGTGCATAAAAGATGCACAGCAGATTCCCCCAGAGGCCCTGTGTCACAAGGGGAAACTGAGGTGTGGAAAACTTGTGTTTCCCGTGGAGGTCCTGGGGTCCCTGAAACAATCCTGGCCTTTGCAGCCCCCTCCCCAAGCTGCCTTCACCCCGTTCTGGTGTGGCCCAGAAGATCCGGGGAACTGGAACTGACACGCCTCAACCAGGGGATCCCACGGCTTACCGGCAGTCTGCTTTTCTTGGCCAAGTCAGCAGGAGTGTAAATATTGAGGTAAAGACAGTCTTCAGAAAACTTGAGAGGAATGTTCTCCTTACGGTTGGTAAAGAGCTCAGAGAGCACCTGCCCCGCCACGGCATCTTGGGAGCACCTGGGGAGGGAGAAAGAAAAACCCCTGAAAGTTCAGCCAGATCTAAGCCAGGTGTCTTCTGGGGCAGGGCCTTGGACTGGGAGGTCCAAGATACTGGAATGGGTAAGAGGCTATCAGGGTCTTCAGGTGGGGGCGCTAGGACTCACTAAGTTCTCCTGAAACCAAGCAGAGTGTAAAGAGCTTCACACCATTTCCCTTCCTGGAGCCTTTGTGACTCCCAGCATCAAGGAAAGAGACAACCAATATACTAATCCTCCCTGGGAGGTGACATCTCCTGCAATAGCTCAGGAGTGAAATCTTTGTGGGACAACATCAGGAAAACTGTGCTCTAGTCCTCTCTCTGCTATGCATTTACGAGGTAACTTTGGGTGAATTCCTTTCACATTCTGGGTCCCAATCTGCCAGGTCTAAGTGAGGGGAGTATTTCTACATGGGTCTTGCAGCCCTCACATGCCAAGATTTGACCATCAACCCATCCCAGGCAAGGGCTGAAAGGGCTCAAAGATCCAACATAGATGAATACGTGCAATAGTTACTGAGTCCTCCCAGTGCGCCAGACACTGTTTTAAGTATTCTTTGTATAGTAACTCATCTAAGCCTCAGATCAGTCCCATTACATAGGTTCTATTATCTCCATGTTACAGATGAGAAAACAAGCCCAGAGAGGCTGGAGAACCTGACCTACATCAGAGAGCCAGGAAGATCCATGCCATGTGGTGCTTATACACAAGTTTGTTATAAGCAATGGTCCCAGATCTCAATGTAGCAGGAGGCACGCATCACTGCCCCCACTATGCACATGAGGAAACTGAGGCACTCAGGCTCCAGGATGACAGCTGTCAAGTGACAGAATTGGGGCCAGTAAAGATGACTTCTTGATTCTCATCCTGGGAAATTTCCCCACATATCACCAAGCGCAAGGGGCATGATAATTAATAAAAAAGACATTCTAATGTGAAGAAAGGGAAAAAGAACTCAACCTCACTGGTCTTCAGGTTAATGCAAACTAAAGTGGAAAATAATATTGCAGTTATTATTGTTTTGCCTATCCTCTTGCCAAAATCATTTTTAAATTACCCCAAGCATTGCCAAGAGTCTGCTGAATGGAGGTTTTCATTCGTCAATGGGAGGAGTGTAATTGGAATATTTTGGGAGATAAATTTAACAAAAGATATATACTCTTGGATTCAGAACTGTCATTTCTGGAAACTTACCTTAAAATATTCATGAATGTGCATAAAGGTTTCACATTCATGATGTTATATTATTAAAATCATGGTATGTAGCAATGACCCCAAATAGAAGCTTGGGGAAATTAATTATGCTTCGATACTAAACGTAATGCTGCTGTTAATATCAGGCTGTGCTATCATGGCATGGAATGATGCTCATGATATACTTACAAATGAGCAAGGCAGGGAGCCAAATTATCTGAATATAGCATTCCATTTTAAAGGAAGAAAGAATAGAAATAGGTTAAAAAAAAACTGGAAAACAAAAAAAATTAGATGATAATACTTTACAATCTAAAATATTGCTAGCTGTTCTGAGTGGTGAGATATTGTACGTGATTTTAATTTTCTTACTTTTCCTTCTCTGTATTTCCTAAATTTTCTGTGAATAAGTATATATTACATTTGCAGCCAAAAAATAAAAATAGTAAATATTACTTTTTTTAAAAAAAGCAAAGAAAAGACACAGCCAGAGGTGGGCTGCTGGAAACCCCCCGAGTACCTGGCTGCAGAGATGAATGGGGTCTGGTTTGATGCCTGTAGGGGTCCTTGGAACCCTGGGGAGTGGTGGTGAGGCCAATCAGAACCTTTGGGTTTTTCTTCCCAGCTTGGCCAGGGTGACTGTACACACCTGCCATTGTTCTCCTCAGGAACAGGGAGCTGGGCACACCTGAGAGTTGAGCACTTGCTGAGTGGCCACCTCAGTACACTTCCCACCCACACACCTCCTGACTCATCCCTCTCCCCAGCTATGCCAAAGTTCAAGACAGGGAAATTCATGGGATCCTTACTTCTGATCTCCCTCACCTGCTCAACTGTCTCCTTGTTTCCAAGGCACTTGTCCTGTTCTAACATATCACATCATCCATGGAGTAATTTGCGTGTTGTTTCTTACCTGTCTCCCCCTGCTAGAATGCACGCTCCATGAACCTAGGGATCTTTGCTTTGTTCCCTAATAGATCCCAAGAATCCAGAACATGCCCAGCACACAGTAGGTGCTCAATAAACATGTGTTAAATAATGGACTCTAGAAAGCTGTGAGAGTTCTGGAATGTTCTTAAGGATCTACAATGATCTCAGGATTCCAGAGCAAAGTATCAGCCCATCGGGGGACTGCCTTGACTCCTTCCTGTATCACGCTGAGGCGAGCATCCCGCTGAAATGTGCCAAATCCACCCCTGGCTTACATAGGAGGGTAAGAGGTGGCATTCTTCACGAAGCTCCACGGCTCTGCAGGTTGTGGTGGAGTAAACCTCAGGGGTCCAAGAGGAGGCTTGGCAAAAGGGATTCCCAGGAAAACGGCCACAGGCTGTGCAAATCCTTGCAAGTTGATGAACTTCCCCAGGACTTTACCATGCATGGTGTCCACCACAGGTGGCGAGGAATGGTGCCCTGCTGGACATGGAGAATAAATCAGAATGCATCAGAGGTGAAAGTCTGGACAAGGTTCCAGGTGGGGTCTGCCACTTTCTAGGTGTGTGACCTTGAATAAGTCACCTAAACCCTCTAGGCCTCAGTTTCTCCTGATGTAAAATAGGGATGAGGATCACTGTCCTTCCTAACTCATTGAGCTGGTTTAAGGAGCAAATTAGAATTGGAGGCATGAAAACATCCAGCCAAAAATCAATGCAAGAAGGAGAGCTACTAGGAAAGAATAAGACATTTAGCTTCCACCTTAGAAGCTTCTGGAAACATTTATCCCTTAGAATCCTGGCACTGAGCCGCGAGCTGGCTGAAAGGATGAACAAGAGCTGCCCTGTACTCTCAGAAGCACTGACTCTGACAGGGAAGGGTCACATATACACCTGACCCTGCAGCTGGAAGGAAGTGGCTGTGTCCTGGAAGAGGTATCCGTAAGGCAGTCCAGGAACTAGAAGAGGGGTAAGGCCTTCTGACTGAAAGCATCATGGAGAAGCTGGAACTTGCAGTAGGGAAGGATTGAATAAGGGGAGATGAGAAGCAGTGAGTGGTACAGAGCAGAGAGAAGGAAGGGAATGTGCTGAGGCTCAGAGGCAGCAGAATGCAGAGCTTGCCTGGAGGAGGGGGCGTGACCCAAGTGCAACAGGTGGAGTCTGAGGGGATTGGTAAATAGTCCTGGAATGAGAGAACACATGTCAGGGAGGGCCTAAAATACCAGTTTAAGCACTTGAGTTTTATTTAGTGGACAAATAAACAGCAAGAACCATTCCAGATAAAGGAAATGATCAGCTCAAAGAAGATTCTTCTGGTGGCCCTGGGCAGGGCTGCTCCATTCTTGCAGCGCAGACAATGCTTCCTCATTGAGCTGAAATTCCTTTCCCACAGCCTCTGCATCAGTCCTGGTTCTACCTGCCATGGGACTATGGTGGCCTGATCTGATCTTTGGCCTGTGGCCTTTCAGGCACTTGATAGTGCCACCCACCCCTCTGGTCCTATCTGGCTCCAGTGACCTCAGTTTTTCTAAGCTTCCCTCCTAGGAAATAATTTCCAGCCTCTTGTCCTCCCAGCTGCTCTGTTTTGGATGCAGACAAGACGTCAACACCTCCCTTAAAGTGTGATGCTAGAATAAGACAGAGCAATTCAGATTTGGATCTACAGGGGAATATCCAATCACAGTGGAAACTCCTTATGCAAAGCCCAGTTACACAACAGCATCCATGTCTCATCTTATTAACAGCCAACCCCAAAATGCCGGTTTTAGCTTATTTTCTTTTGTTTTTATTGCTAATTACAAATAACTGTGAGATGAATGTCCTTGGAAGCATATTTATTGACATAGCAATGGGCGGTTGCATTAGGGGTGACCTGTTATCTTGATGATTTCCACGTGTTCTGCACTGTATGGGATTTCTCGCCTTCACCTGAAATCCTCCCCACCACATGTTAATTACTTTAAAATTTTAAATAAAAAAAGAAAAAATATATGAAAAAATATGATGATGTCTAAAAGGTATTTTGAAAGACTTGGAGACCAGGCACAGAGGCTCACCCCTGTAATCCCAGCACTTTGGGAGGCCAAGGCAGGCAGATCACTTGAAGTCAGGAATTCAAGACGAGCTTGGCCAACATGGTGAAACCCCTCTACTAAAAATACAAAAATTAGCCCGGCGTAATAGAGTGTGCCTGTAATCCTGGCTCCTTGGGAGGCTGAGGCAAGAGAATCGCTTGAACATGGGAGGCGGCGGTTGCAGTGAGCCAAGATCGCACCACTGCACTCCAGCCTGGGTGACAAAGCGAGATTCCATCCAAAAAAAGAAAGACTCGGTCCCTGACCAGATGCAGAGGACAAGGAAGGGAAAGAAGACCAAAGAGCTGACTTGTGATGCTGGGTCCCTGTTTACACGGGCTCAGTGGAGATGTCGGTGAGATATCCTGGCAAGATCGTGCCACAGGACGAGCACACTGGAAGACTGGAAGGAAGCCTGGAGAAGGAGCAGGGGAGAATCTTCTCCTAGGTGGCGAGGGCACACACCATGGATGCGTATGGCTTCCTCAAAGATGCCAGTGAGAAAGACAAGGAAACAAAACAAAGATCAAACACAGGGTCCACTAAGCCAAGAAAGAAGATCCATCAGAGTGGGGACAAAAGAACCTCCCAGCGTCCTGGAAGCCCAGGGAGGAAGAGGGCGAGGCGCCGGCTATGAGTGCTGAGGGCTTCAGAGAGGTGGAGAAGGGACAAGGCTGAGCGGAACCCACTGGGCTGGCCTTTCTCAGCTCAGGATTCCCTTCAACAAGGTGACGTAGATGGCAGCCAATTGCCAAGGGTGAAAAAGTGGGTGAATGAGGGGAGGCAGAAACAAGAGTGGGAACAAGAGCAGTTGCCACTGATGTGATATGAAACACGAACCATGTGGGGGCGCCTACTCCGTGCCGGGCATGCATTCCAGTTTGTTTAAATGCATCTTCAAAAAAGCCTTGCTGGGTAGGCATCAATATTCCCATTTTACAGTGGAGGAAATTGAGGAAGTGGAAGCAGCCGGTATGGACTTCCTAAGGAAGGAAACGGATGGCATGGCCAGGAGTAACCAGAGGTAAAGGAATATTCAGCTCCAAATAGGGTTCCTCTCTTCCTCTGCTGTTACACACAGTTCAGGGCTCTCCCAGTGTCAGGCTGCCAGAAGGAGGACAGGGTGCAGACGGGGCCTGGCCTGTCAGGATTGCGACCCAGAGACAGGCCCAGGCATGATTTCCTGGTTGACCTTGGGCAAGTACATTTCCCTGTGTGAGCCTCAGTCTCTCCATCTATAAAATGGCCCTGGGGGTATTAAGAGGCCCCTCCCTGCACCCCTGAATGTACCATGTGTTTTGCTTTCTGTATTCGGACATCTGAGGCCTTGCTGACCTTGGAGAAACTCTCCTTCCCAGGGTCCCGCCAACCCAGAGCCCACGCCCCAACCACCTCTTTGATCCAGTTGCCATGACCTGGCCACTACCCACCTGCCCTAATCACGCCAGGGCCAGGTACCAGACAACTAGGGACAGCCCCTGTGCCCCAGAGCCCCCTGAGTTATCCCAACTCACCAATCCTCAGCCTGCCTGCCTGCCTTGCCTCTTCTTTCTAATGGAAGCCACAGTAAAAGCCTCTTGGGCTCAGATCTGCCCCCGCCCCCTCCCCCTGCTCTGCTGCTTTCCCTTGTGCCCCATCCCCCACCTCACTGGTGTCCTCTCCTGTTGGGAACATTCGTAAGAAACTGTCTTTTTCATGGCAAGAGGTCCTGATATAGCGGCCTGACCACAGCTCATATTTTCTATTCATACACTACTTTTTTTTAACAACGCCTTTATTTGTCCACTCCCTTTTCTGTGCTTTCTCCACACCAGGTGCTGTCCAGATTGCTTTAGAAACAACGACCCATTCCTCCTCACCAGAGTCCAGTGAGGTAGGTAGCACTGCCACCTCTATTTCAGAGAGGGGGCAACCCAAGCACGGAAACACTCAGTCCCTTGCCTAAGGACACACAGCGAGGAAGCGCCCAGCCAGGACTCAAACCCATGCACTCTGGCTCAGGGTCTCGATGCTCTTGATATTCTGTTAAGCTGCTCTCTGTGATCCGGCCATGACTGACTCATTAGGGGACAGTAAACTGAGCTGCCTAAATTCCTCGTGTGTGTGGTGTGAGGTTGGCCGGCAGCCGGACTGCGTGGGGCGACCAGTGCAGGGCGGCCTCAGGGTGTCCATCCTCCCTGCGTCTCCGCGCGGGCCGGGGCTGCCCGGGCTCAGCTGCTCCAAGTTCAAGTCCAAGTCCGGAGGGCGCGCACCCCGCGGAGCCGGACCTGTTGTGCCTATGCATCTAAGCCCATGTCCGCCCAGAACAAGGATTCCCAAACGTGCCCCGCACGTTTCTATTTCAGAAGGACCTACCCCAAGTCGTGGAACCGGCGAGGGTGGCCAGGAAAAGAGCACGGAGCCACATCCTGGAAGGGCGACAGCTCCCGGGGTCTGCGAGGTCTCCGTGCAACTCAGAGGGACTGCCCTGTTCAGCCCCAGAGGGCAGGCCTGCCCTGCGCTGCCCATTTCCTCATTGTCAGATATCAGAAACACCCTCCTTTTACCCAGGTCTCCCTGGGCTTCTACTGAGACCTCCAAACCACGCCCACCCACAGTTTACCCTCTTTTATCAAAGCAGGCTGGACTATGCTCTCAGATTACAGAGAGCTACAAACTCGCCCAACTGCTTGCTACGTCAGGGCTTCTCCCTTGCAGGACTCTGACGGCCCCCAAAGGCTGTGCTAGCAGGCAGATGTTTTAGGCAAAGAGAAGCTTTGGTCTGAGGTCCTAAGAAAAAGCTTGAAAGTTTTAGAGCTACTCACAGCCCCGCAGCTCAGCTGGGTAACTTAGCACACATCTCAGCTCCCAGGGCTTGTGTTTTGCAACGTTCCAGGCTCTCAAGTTTGGAAGCAATCTTAAATTTCATGCACTCCCCTTTCTGAGGCCTGAAATAGCTTCACAACGTCTTGCCAACTGACCTGGCCTCCTGCGGCACACCTCCAGTGTCAGAGAACTCACTGCTTTCCAAAGCAGGGATTTTTAGACAAAATGTAAAAATGAATTCCATCTCTCCAAAGCCCCTGGCTGTAATCATCCATCCATCCATGTACCCATCCATTCTGTGAACATTTATCAAAACGCCTGGCACCTGGCCACATATAATGGATACAAAGGCCAATTCAAGACACTGTTCAGCTTCTCAAGGGGTCACCATTGGTAAACAAGACAGATGGCGGGGAGGAGCAGCAGAGGCGAGGTCAAAGCAATGTGAAATCACCAAATCAGGAGGATACAGAGTGCTCTGGGCCCACCTGGAAAGCTGTCATTTACAAGCTGCTGGGGACACGAGGAAGTCACTTAAAGACTCTTTCATGGGATCATTAAATGTCCAACCATAGGGAATTCACTAAACACACTCTGGTTCAGCTGGCTAAGGAAATATGATGTATTCACTCAAAATATAGTATGTGCACATCTATTTATTAACAACGAAGACAGTCAGAATCTGTTGTGAAAGGAGAAAATAACAGGTTATAAGCTATTGTGCCAGGTAGGCAGTTCCTCAAAAAGTTCAACATAAAGTTTCCATATGGCTCAGCAATTCCTCTTTTAGGTGTCTACCCAAGAGAACTGAAAGCAGATTTGTACAAAAACTTGTACACAAAGAGCAATGTGTACCAGAACGTGGACAGGACCCACATGTCCATGACCTGATGAATGTGTAAATAGTGTTGTCTATGCATGCAGAGGCATATCATCCAGCCATAAGAACAACATACTACAACATGGATGAAGCTGGAAAATATCATGGTAAAGGAAAGAAGCCAGGCACAAAAAGGACACATGTGTATGATCCTTTTTGTATGTAATTTCCAGAATAGTCAAATCCACGGAGACAGAAAGGGGTTGCCAGGGCCTTTGGAAGGGGAAAGAGAGGGGAATGAGGAGTGACTGTTAATGAGCATGAGGTTTACCTTGGGGGTGGTAAAAATATTCTGGGATTAAATAATGATGACGTTAGCACAACTTTAGGAATATACTAAAAACCACCAGACTGTACGCTTTAAAAAGGTGAACTTTATGGTATGTGACTTATATTTCAATAAAATAATGAGTTTTTTTGAAAATCTAGATAGGTATAATATGGTCCCATTTTACTAGTGACATATGTCTTTATTTGCATAGGAAAATACTGGAAGACTATACATCTAATTAGCATTACAACAGCAATTTCCTGGCTGCAATCTTGTCAGCGTTTTTACTTATTTGTATTTTCCACTTTTATTTCTTCAAACATTCGACAAATATTTACTGAGACCTTACTGTGTGGCAAACACTGTGCTGAGAGTTTTGTATGCAGGATCTCAGTTCTCAAAATAACCCCGTGAGATTAATGCTATCTCACCATCTTAAATTCATTTCTGTTGTGTAAGCCACCCAGTCTGTGACATTTGGTTCTGGCAGCCTAAGTAGACTAATACATAGGCTCAATCCAAGTCCACTCTTCATTCCCAACAGAATCTAAGGCCCAGAGATGGGGAGGGACTGCCTAAGGTCACACCACAGCTGAATGGCAAAGTCAGGACCAGAACTCAAGTCTTCTGACTTTCCAGAATAGTGTGGCTGGCAGCCGTTTCTGTTGCTTTAATACATCAGGGAGATGTTCTAATTGGTAGCCTTATCTAAGGCAAGTTGGCTTGTCAGTTCCCTGACCCAGGCTGAGAATGGTAGGGCTGAAGTGTTACAGATGGCCGGGGAGGCTGGACACAGTGGCAACCTCCACCCCCTCTGTAATCCCAGCACTTTGGGCGGCCAAGTTGGGAGAATTGCTTGAGAGAGGAGTTCTAGTAAGACCCCATCTGAAGAAGAGGAAAAGGAAGAGAAAGAAAAAGAGAAGAAGGAGGAGGAAGAGAAGGAGGAAAAAAGAGAAGGAGGAGGAGGAGAGGAAGAAAATGAAGAAGGAGGAGGAGGAGGAGATGGAGAAGGAAAAAGAAAGAAGGAAGAAGAAGAAAGAAAGAGAGAAAGAAGAAGGAAGGAAGGGAGGGAGGGAGGGAGGGGGGCCAGGTACCTGGGGAGCCATGTTGTATTTTCCCAGTCACTTGGCAAGCCTGCCCTTGTCCAGGCCAGATCATGAGTGGCATCAGGAAAAGTTTGGGCAACCAGTAGCCATAAATCATATGACAGTTCCAGAGCTGCTAATGGGTTCTTGCCCAAGGCCATGGGTTATAGTTGAAGTGAAGCTTCTGGAACCCCAAATTCAAAAAGGGATGCTCATTAGCACTCATTCTAGCCACGTGCAGGCTGATGAGGGGCATTCTGTGTTGGGAATGAGGATGCTGTGACAGCATGAGAATCCGTTTCCAGAGCTATTTGATTCTACAAAGGTTGACCTGAACTTTAAGATTCCTCCCTTACTTTTACTCAGGACAGAAACCTGGTTGATAAACACCACGCTAATAAAAAGCATTCCTATCTCTATCCACAAGAGACCATCTGGGTGGTCCTTCTAAGTAGAAAGCAAAGTTAGTGCCACTCACTCAGCACAGCACACACCCACATGCCTGTTAACCACCCTGCCTTTTGCCCTCGCCAGCTGGCTTTTGCAACCTGGATAACAGCCCTGGCTCTTGGCCTATGAAAACTTTATGGTGCTGTGTTTGTGAAATAAAAAAGGTAAGGATTAATTCTTCTCCTAATCTGCTCTCAGTCACATGGCCGCTTGTGACACTAGCCAATTGTGCAAACAGAGAATTATTTTGGCCACTCCTAGGTTTTGCCTGGGTCTGGCTAAAGCCTCTAAAGCCCATGTTTGATTCATCATGACCTTGCAGATTGTGATGGGTGAGGCTGAAGCCTACCAAGCCTCACAATAGATCTCATTTTTGCTTAATAAATATAATTCCCCTGCATGACTTCAGCTGTAAGCAATACGTCTGTTATTTAAGTGGCAGTTGGTTGGAGTTATTGTTTTTCCCCGGGGAATGTCGTCTGTTTTCCCATGTGGAACTCTGTGATGTGAAAAGTAAAATCCTAGGAACTGGCCTTAATTTCTAAGCAGTTGGGTAAGATTTGTGAGAGTGGGCATATCTGGGGGCTTCAAATGAATCCCCCAAACCTTTCCACCTCCATCAGTTTACTCAGCAGATATATGGAAAGCACGTATTAGAGCCAGCATTGGGCCACAGCAAGCCCACGTGCTACTGGGACCCTCACTCAGCTTTGTCTGTGAACCATGGGATTGATCGGGTATAGATTTTGTGATGGAAAACTCTGAACTGGGAGACAGAAGTCTGAGAATCCACTGAGTGACATTTGGGGATTCTTTGTGGAAAGACAGGGGGTGGCTCTGGGGGAAGATCTCTCCCAGGCACCCTTCACCATGGCTCTGCACTCTATGAATCCAGAATTCTATGACATTCTCCTCTGCAGCCTAGGGATATGCAGTGTTTCTGGAACCTCAGTTATTCTCATACTAATATCATGGTTTTTGCCTTATCAGCATATCATCTGTATTTCTATGGGCAGTTTTCTTTAAATGAAGTAACTCTTTTTACTTCAACATGCTCACTCCAAAAGGAGACTTTATACCATTTCCATAAGTGCAAGACCAGCATACCCTTCCATGAATTAGAGGAATGCATGGAAAATGTGCGACTGCATTTTTTAAAATTAAAATGATGGTAAAAGTACATAGAAGAATGCCAGTAAAAACACTGCTAGTTTACAAAAGTGTATAACTGAAAAAAAAAAAAGCCCTCAATGGGAAAAGTGAACCATTGAAGGCCAGTTAGTTACATGAAAGCAGGGACAGCCTTGATCGCCATCATGACCACCAGGTAGGTGACAAGGCATTGGCTTTGGCAAGGGTCGTTGTCACCAAAGTCATTTCCTTGAGCCTCGGGGAATGTCTCCCTGTTATTATTCAGTTCATTTGGCAGGAATTGTATTATGTTTACACCTTCCCAGGCTTATGATGCTGGGAGGGGTCAATCAGGTCCTAAGACTGACTGGTCAGAGCATCTGGAGGAAATTCTGGCCTGCCGGTGGATTGTAGAGGAGAGAGCTGGCCACTCCTAGGTTTCGCCTGGGTCCGGCTGAAGCCTCTGAAGCCCATTTCTGGTTCATGATGATCTTGCAGATTGTGATGAGTGAGGCTATGGGCATAACTAGTCACCATCAATGGCTCAAACAACTGGAAATCAGGCCATGTACATTCATCAGGCAATCACCCTATGACTGCTAAGCAAGAATTGTTAGTGAGATTAGGGTAAACTAGAGTAGCAAACAGACTCAGAATTTCAGTGGCTTATTTGTCGCTTAGGTAAAGGACTAGAGTGTTGTTCAGGTCAAGGTGGCTGTCTTCCATATGGTCACTCAGAAATCTAAACTAGGGTGTTGGCAAACTTTCTCTATAAAGGGCCAGATAGTAAGTATTTTGGACTTTGCAAGCCATGAGCTGTCTGTGGCAACTGCTGTGGTAGTAAAGGCAGCCTGTAAATAATATCTATGCAAATGAGCATGGCTGTGCTTCAGTAAAACTTTATTTTAAAAAAGACGGTGGGTCAGATTTGGCCCTTAGG